TGAGTACCTCAGCCTTCTCCTCATCCATGCCACTAATTCAGCATTGTTTAGCACTAGGGTGGGTACACCTTTGACCTTCCTTTTCTGATTTAGATACTTATACAATCCCTTTTTGTTTTTCTTTGTATCCCTTGCCAAGTTCAGCTCTAGCTGTGCCTTGGCCTTCATGGCTTTATCCCTACATAACCGAGCAGCTTCCCTGTATTCCCCCCAGGATACCTGTCTCTGGTTCAGCTGTTGTGCAGTTCCACCTTGTTCTTTAGTTCAACCAGTAGTTCATGACCCAGCCATGCTGGTCTTTTTACCTGCTTGCCTGATTTCCTGCACGTGGGTGTTGAGACCTCCTGCACTCTGTGGAAAGCCTCCTTAAAGATCTGCCAGCTCTGCTCTGCTCCTTTATCTCTGAGCACTGCCTCCCAAGGGGTCCTGTTGAGCAGCTCCTTGAGGAGCTGGAAGTTTGCTTTCCTAAAGGTTAGGGTGCTGACTTTGGTTTTCCTCTGTTTCATACCCCTTAGCACAGTGAACTGAACCTTCCAAAAAGTGGTTTTGCTTAGGGCAGCCATAGTTTGAGGGGGGATTCTGTTTGAGACAAAATGCTTTATTCCCTGCCCTTAGGAAACCACTAGCTGACTGAACAGGCTGCATAGCTTCATGCATAGACAGTAAGTGATGTTTCCTGAAATTTAGAAACAAAACTGTACTGCTTTTTGTTTTTTTCATTATCTCCCATGGTTTCACTATGTACTACTGGTGTACTGTCTTGTGTTTTAACCACCTAATATATGCAGATGCACGTTACTGTGTAGGCAGGTTTTGCCTAACAATTTTCCTGGAAGGGGTTGAAACTGAGGCACAAAATTGTATTTTGAGTAGTAACAGACATCTTCTGAAATAGGCTTCCCATACAGGGAGAGGAACATGTTCACAGGAAAGGCTGTGAGAACTACCTCAACACAAATTTGTAAAACTGGTGCCCTGTGGTTTCCTGGTTCATTCAGCAAAGTTCACTACAAGGCTCTGCATTTGGCTGCAGACCATGCTGGAGTTCTGTAGAAGAGAACACATAAAATGGTATAGTTGTCCTAGAAATGAGTGGTGCTAAGGTAATTGTGCATTTCTCTTCAACATAACGAAGTCCTTGAAAATTATCTTTAAAAAACAATGACTTGTCATTGCAGCAAAGTTCTTTCCTGAGTTGTTCTCCTTGGTACAGTGTTGGGTCACCTGTGTGGAAATGAAGCAATATTAGACACAGTGGGGGGACTTTCTGTTGGAGATTAAGTGAGCTCCTGCTAGGATAATGTACAATGCAATTTAGGCATGTCTTTGGTACAGGCTCCAGGAGGTTGGGAGAACAGAACTGCCAGAGGAATGAGGAAAGCAGGATACAATTGAGGTAAGATCAGGGCAAGGTCATGTGTCATTTTATGTGTGTTCCAGAGAGGAGGTGAGACCTGAGAATTTGCAGTCCACCTTTTGACTGTCACTGTAGGGAGGTACCATTGTTAGTTTACATGAACACAGTTTGCCAGATAATCTTGAGATGTTTGAGAGAGAATCTGCCCCGTAGCATATATGACCCAACAAAAGTGCCCTTCCTCTGTGAGGTACTGTCCTGTTGGCCAGCCCTTTGGTGTGACTGCCTGATCCTGCGTGCTCACACTGTTGTCATGAAAGGCATGGTGTCTCTGGGTGGGTCATGAAGGTGTCCATCAAAGGGAGTAGCCTAGGAGAAGAAGGTAACAACTAAATGTCCTGCCTTGACTTTACACCTGGGCAACTTCGAGTAGGCCTGGAGAGGTTGAAAAGCCCATCAGGTGGCAAGGGAGCAAGCAGGCTTGCCTGTTATTTTCGTGTACCTGAGAAGTTACACTACACTTTTTTTCTGTTTGTTTTAGCATTGGAAGTGTTGTGGTCTCTTCTACCATGGGAGCATGTTTGATTTGTGAGTAGAAACCAAAATAAAGAAATAATCTAACAGGATGGGTAGCTGTCCTCTTTTAAAAGCCTCTGTGCTGGTGCAGGCTATTACTGTCCTCAGGCTGCTGTTTGTTATTTCTCTTGAATCACTTGCAGAGTACTTTGTGTGGATGCATTCCAGTTTGTCCCAGGAGACAGAAACTCCTTTAGCTATTTAGGCTGACAATTTAACTGGAGGGACTTCTCTCAAACTGCTCCGCTGGTAATGACGTCTGGTGCAGACACAATGAGCAGCTGTAGACACAGACACATTTTACCAGCCCAGCTAAAGCTTAAAGAAAAGAGTAAAATATTTTCCCCTTTGAATATCTGATACCAAGAAATATCAGTTAGCAACCAATAGCAGTTGTCAGGACCTGTAATGAAATTTGGGGTATCTGGATATGATGAAATCATGCATGTGGAGACAAGCAGGAAAACAAATCATGACTAATCAATCAGAAGGCAAGTAAAGACAAACTCATGGCTTGTTGTTTTTAATTTCCTAGATTTTGACCAGTCCATGGACCTGACTCACAGTTCTTGGAGCTGTTAGTACCCTGCTTACCTAGTCCTTGCTGCAGCCCATGTGAGGATGTTGTGGCTTGAGAGCAAGAGAAAAGAAACACTTTTTCATAGAATCATAGACTCCTTCAGGTTGGAAGAGACCTCCAAGATCATCAAGTCCAACCATCAAGCCAACACTACTAAGTCCTCTGCTAAAACAGATCAGAATCTGTCAGGGTTGGAAGGGACCCCAAGGATCCCCCAGTTCCAACCCCTCTGCCATGAGCAGGGACACTGTTTTGCCCCAACTGTTTTCAACAAGAGATCTTTGCTTTGTCAACTACTGTCTGCTGGGACAGATTTGAGTAGCTATGGATTAGATGCAGTGGTTATGGAGTATGTGACTGTTGAGCTGTTTTTCTTATGGTTTTGTGAAGTCTAAAATAGGCAACACAGACAGTCCAGTTACCTGCTCCACCATGGTTACTGTAGTAAACTAGTACATTAGCCAGAGGTTCTGACAGGCTGTCATCCATCCTGTTTCCCTGCAGCACATTCCCTGACAGTGCTGCCCTCTCCCAGGCAGTGTGCAGGGCAGAAGCAGAGGAGGTCCCTCAGCAGCCAGAGCCTGGGCTGTGGTGCACTGTGCTCAACTCTGCACTTCTCATCCTGTCCTCTAGCAAGTAGTTAGTGTGCTAATGTAGGGGAGAATTAGGACTTGGGCCATTTTAAAAAAAATAGTACTAATGCATTAGCTGAAAATAACACTGTATTTATTATTATATTTGTAAGCAGTTCATTGAAGCAATGCTTTAGGGGACTGCAGCACACATAGTAACAGGAATCCTATGGATAATACATAGAATCATAGAACTGAGTGTCACATGGTGGAAGGGACCCTGTGAATGTAAACAGGGATGGCTTTTTTACCAAAGAAAAAGTACATTTCAGTCCTAAATAGAATACAGTCTTCATAGTTTGCTGTTTACAGCCTGTGGTGAAACACAGACCTAATGGACCCATGTCTGCCTTCTCTAATGGAAGTCTAGTGAAAGACAAGCAGAATTTATCCTATGGTTTTGGTTTAAAAGCCAGGAGCTGCAAGTGGAAAAAAGAAATTATATGAGTCTAAAAATCCAAAACCCTGCTTGCAGAATGTTGCTGGATATATTGCCAGTCTAGCAGTATAACATTAGGATTTCACTCTTTATTCTGAATCATAAGTCTCATGTAGGAGCAGAAGAATTGGGAAGCATGGTATCAAGGTGTATACATCATATTTACTATAAAAAACCTAATTGATAATGAAAATCCTTATTCTTAAGCCAGTCAAAATTTCAAGATGTAGGAGAACTTGAACATATGGACCTCAAGAGGAGGTATTTTTATGGTTTAGAAATGGTTTTCTTCTAATGGAAAGATCTAATTTGCCCTCCAGTATCCTAGGGTGAAGATGAATCTGTCATACTTACCTGCTGATAGGCATTGAAATTGGTGACAGGGGAGTGAGCTTGCAGACAGGTAGAACATCTACAGCATTTACCAGGCCAATCTGACAGCTTTAGCAACCCTCATTTTTAATGAGCACTTAGACCAATGCCATAAAAAAACTGAGTCACAGTGGGTCTGTTGCATTGTATTAGCTGAAATTTGATCAAGCATTGGTAGGTCAAATGAAGTACAACTGATGGGGAGTGCTAGCAGACTGTCAATACTAACATGAGAGGTTATTTTATTTTTCCATGTGGTTTCCAAACAAGGGGTGAATAAAAGGAACATTCCAGAGACGTCTGTATCCTTGAGCTGCAGGTTTGTCCCATGCTAGCTGATACCAGGAGGGGAGAAAACTGAAATTACATTAGAAATCATGTAGGGAAGCAAAATTTCCCAGGAAATTTTATGAGTTTGTATCTATGGCTTCACTTTAAACAAACCTCTGAGGTTTGGTGGCTGCATGGGAGTGTGCCAGTGGCCAGAAAGCAGTGAGAGGTGCCAGAGAACAGCTGCACTGAACAGCTCTCCCTCCTACAGAGCCTAAACTTGACATCAGAAGACAGCTAATGCATGGAAGCAGAAAGGAGTAGCTGTCATGTTTCAAAGTTGTGGCTACCTCCTTATGCTGTCTGGTTGCTGCAGCAGCAGTTACCCTTACTGATAAGCAGAGGCAGTATGGCCATCAACTGACTTTCCTTTGTTACTGAGGCATTGGGCATGGAAAAGAGTGAAAATGAAGAGTTCTGGATTGTGACAGGGCCTGCTGTAGGCATGATAGGATTCTTAATGTCTTCTGATTTCTATGCATCATTAGGCATCACAGAAGAGGACAGTCAGCCCAGCTAGCACACTTCAGACCACTGTGGCTGGGCTGCTTTTGTGCATGCTGGTATGCAGAGTAGAAATGCAGATAATTTAAAAGGCTTTCCTAAAACCCTGCAAATTCTGGCAGTAGCTTATCACAGCTGTTTCCTATCCCATCTCTTTCCAGATATTGTGTGATAAACTGGAATGCTCTGTTTGTTCCTGAGGCATTGCACTGACATAACAGCAGAGCTTGTCAGGGAAGAGCATTTCTCAGGTACAGTGCACTGAAGTAACTCAGATGCTTACCAGCTCCATTTTAGTTAGGACTGGGTAAATGTAAATGAATTCCACATTTGTTGTGGCCATATGACCTTGGAGGTAGCAGGGCCAGCTGTCTTCTTCTAGGATGAAACATGGGTCTGCCTCAGCTGGAGGAAGGAAGGGTAGAGCTGTTGGGTACTTAGAAATGTGGCATCTGGTGCCTCATGCCCAAAGGCTGACATCCCAAGTGAGGTATGCATGTACATGTGCATTCAGCAGCACAAGGAGAAAATGGTGCAGAATACTACAGGGGCACAAGATCTGCTGGTTATCTCCTGGAAAAACCTTGACTCCATATGCATACATGATAGTTTTTCCACTTAGTGACCTAATCTTTTAATTTCACCTGAAATGAGTAACCCTCAGGTGATAATAAATCATTGTTGGCAGCCAGGCCAGAAATATAAGGATTATAAAGATAAACTCTGCATCTTTTTTTTTTTAATATCTATATATCTTTAGCTTCCTTCATCTTTTTCTTCTCTCCAACAAGTACCATGATTTTCCCTTTACTAAGACAGTTTCTGTGATGTTAGATCTGTCCAAATTTTGTGATAGATTTGGATTGTCAGATGCTATTTCCATAATCTCCTTTTGAAAAATCTGAGTTTCAGCAATTTACTCTAGCTTCCAGACATAAAGTGGTGGTTCTTGAACATGTCCACAGACATCAGGTTAAGTCAGTTGGTTCAGGTGGCCAGTTCCTGCATGCTTTATGCACAGAGGGGGAATTGGGGGTACAGGAGAAGACTCACATTCACCTCCCACAGTCTTGTCCCAAAACTGGGTTCTTTATCTGATGTGCAAAAAGTAATCAACACACAGACTCGAGATATTTGTTTTACTCCAGTTCTGTGCAGAAAAAGGGTGCTAGGCAATAATTTGCAAAGCTAAGCAGTGTATTTGTACTGTGGGCTTATCATAGAAGAACACTCCTACTCGATGACCGTTGGGTGGTTCTTTGTTCCTCTTGATGTGAATGTCCATCTTCAATGTGCTACACATGCTCAGCAGGTAGGGATCTTTACTGGGAGGTGGGTAACTTAAGCACTGGAGGAGTGTTTTTTGGCTGGCTTTTGTCTGTTGTTAAGTTAAGCCATTATTTCTAAACCAAAAGCATGCTCAGCTCTGATATTTGTAATTTAAGTTGTTTTTAATTCTAGTGGCTTATATATAATTAGGTATATCAAGGCTTTTAGCTTATTTTTTTCTTAAATAAGCCTGTGGTCATTTAGTGTTTGTTGGTGATTGGTTTTTTGTTTTTGTTTTTTTAAAACAGGAGATCAGGTTGATGATAGTTTTTTATATGGAGCTCTTTGGAACATGTGCATGGATAATGATAATTGATTAAGGGTGACAAGTTAAAATCTTATTTTCCTCAAAAGTTAAACCTCTATTTTTTATTAAGATGCTGACAATCCTAAGCAGAGTAACTTTGAGTGCTAATGTGGGAAAAGGTCAAGCTAATATAGTGAGTGACAGAAGTGACAACTACCACAGAGTTCATGGGTGGGAGAAACCAGGGTCAGTGGTCTTGATTTAAAACACTGTTTTAAAGAACTTATACTTGATGGATATTTTCACTTTTCTGCTTGAGTACCTGCCATGTGCCCTGCTCTTTCAGTGAATCACTGTTTTTGATGGAAGCATCTTTAGGTGAAGACCTATAAGCTTTGAGAGTCTTCCTTCTGAATCAGATCCCTTCTTCCCCGTGCCTCCTTTATTAATGTGTCTTTTCCTATCTGCAGTGCTCTGTGCATCTTGTAGCAATCAAGCCAAGGCAAGCATATGGCCATGGGTCTGGTCAGAACGAGGTGAGGCTATGGGGACTGTACTCCCTGGGCCTCACTACCTCCTTATCTGGTGGCCTTCATGGAGAGAGGGCAGGGAAAGTGCTGCTCTTCTGAAGTTTCAGCGTAGCTCTGCCTCAGCCCTGTGTCCCTTCTGTAATCACAGGCACAATGGAGATGGCTTCTTTTTGCCTGGAGAGCAGCAGAGTAATGAAAAACTAGGAAGTCCTGGCGGTGTTGTTTGTCCCCATACAGTTAATTCTTTTCCTCTCATGTAACCAGGTTGCTGTAACAGCATTTTTCTTTGCAGGCGGAATTAGAAATATGGAAATAAATTATGGAGAACCAGGGTGCCTCCTGTCAGAATAAATATTTAATGAGAACAAGGGTTGTGCTCATTCAGAGTCAAAAGGACTGATACTGAAGTACTGTATATATGTTAATTTTAATGTATATAATACATGCTTGGACTTAAATGCAGAGTGAAAAGCCTTAGGGGCAAGTGTGTATTAAGTCTGTGACAGCTGTCTCTGTGTGTGATGGTAATACAAAAGTGTTTTTTTTTTTTCCAAGCTGTTTTAATTTGCCCACCAATCCGTCAGGAAACAGGAATCCTGAAGTACTTACTCTGCAAAGCAATTCTTGGAGGCCTGTGTTCTTTCATGTTGTGTCCAGACTGTGTTCGCTCTAACCAGCCTCTAAAGTATATCAGCTTTTTTAACCTCTTCCTAGCTCAGACTTTTTTTTTAAAAAAAATGAATAATTTCTGAATAATGCATTTTCTTTGTGTTGGAACAACCTACAGAATTTGTACTGTTAGTGCATACAGTTATGCCAGTTAACATGAATTAACTAGTGACTGTTACGAGTTACTTCCAATTTACAAGTTATTTTTAAGATAAAACAGGAACAAAAGGCACAATCTCAGAGTTTACAGCTTATCCTTCCAGGGACATGGGATGCTGAGGTGGTTTTGGGCTTTGTAAAACACATTCTGGAACAATTACTCGTTCCTTTAGGTAGTGTGAGAGAGAGAGAATAAATCCTGATCTCATTTTCTTTAGCGCTCACAACTCTTAAATAATTGGTCTGCCAGAGTGTCCAGGATGTCCCATGCCCAGATGACTTGTCATCAAGACTGTGGGGTCCTTTCCCTGCTAGCTTATTTTGCTCTCTCCTCGTTCTGTTCCTCTCTCTTGTAAAAAGCCTATGCATTTCTCTTCATAAACCTCTGTCAGATATCTCTGAACCTCTCTTTGCCTGTTTTGAGGGTTTCCTACTTGCCTGAAGGTAAAGTAGTTAGACGTTTGAACAGGGAAACTATTTCAATTTGGAATACTTCTTAATTTTCCCAAGTGCAGTCAATTAAGGCTATAATATCTCATGATGGCTTTGTAAATGACCTCAGACTGGAGAGAGATACGTAATTGGGGCTTCTAAAGCCTACGACTAACTCACTATGCATTGATGCATTCAGTGGTTTGTCCAGTCCATAATGTGGATGTATAAATAGACTCTCAACTCATTGCATAACAATAGAATTGCCTGCAGCTTAGAAGAGAGGACACTGGCTTTCCCAGTACAGCCACTAATGTGTTTTGTGAACTTGGATGATCTCAGTCTGCCTCATTCTTTTCATTTCTAAAATGGAAATAATAGTATTTTGCCTAGCTAACATTCATAGGGGAAAAACATTTTAAAAATGCTTTCCAATTCACAGGTACCATGATTGGGAGACAGAAACTAAATTATTATTGAAGAAAAATCTTGGCGTTGTTACAGGAGACAGACATACTGTGTTGAAACAGTACTTACAGACTCAGTTTGTAGCAGACTGTTGAGGACAGAAATTATTTCCGTGGCTGGGTCTCCCTTCATGTGCTTCTGTTGAGATAAGAACTGTAATACAATCTGTTCTCTTCCATTGTTTGGTTTATGCAGGCACAGGCTTGCTGCAGGAAGTGGTCTATCTAGTGAGTCAGGGAGCTGATCCAGATGAGATTGGACTAATGAATATAGATGAACAACTTCCAGTCCTAGAGTACCCTCAGCCTGGTCTGGACATCATCAAGGTACAATTTATTGCAAATATCAGCATTTGGATATCTTTTTCCTTGGTTTCATATTGATCACTTCATTTCATCCTGTGTCCTTGTCCTTTTCACCACCGAACTTGCTCAGTTTGTTGGAATGATTCAGAATATTATTGGGTTATTTTAAAATTGCTTTTATTAAGCTTTATTATACTCTGCTCAGTGCGTTAGATGTTTCTTCATGTCCTAAATATCTTGGCAGTGGATTTTGTGAATAAAAGTTCTGGGCCTCTCAAATGAGGCAGTTTTGCTTTGATTCCTTCCCTGCATCTGCAAAGAGGAACTACAGACACAGAGATCTATGGCTCTGTAGATCTACTACTCTGAATTTACACATCTAAAGTCTTAGAGACTCAGGATCTGTGGATTTATGGACTCTGTAGGTGTAATTTGAGGAGTCTGGAATATTCTGCATGAAATGACTTCCACACTATTAAGAATCACTTGGAAATGAGTGGTGTGGCATGTAAGTGTGATCTTGTCATTGCTGTAACTGCTGCTGATAGAGGCATATTTTGGAGAGATCAGGCAGAACACTGGGCTCCATCCTGTAACAGCTACCAGTGCTTGTTGAACTGAGCTAACTAAGGCTGGCACAGAGAGATTTCAGCTGCTTCAGGTCAATGACACCTGCAGCATTGCTGCTGTTTGGGGTCAGGGCCACCCCCAGAACTGTAACAGATGCTCTCTGTTAACCCCCTCCCCCCACCCCCGAAATGCTGGGGTTTGAACCCCAAGCCCTGAGGAAAGAGATAGGGAATAAAGGAAAGAGACTTACTGATTAGAAAAGGAAAACAGCTTTAATACTACCACTAATAATAGTAATAATGATAATAAAACGGAACATGTACAAATATATCCAAAATCAGTATCAAACCCAAGTCCCCACCTCCCCCCCATGGCCACACATCACCGTCACCCCCGGCTGGGGAGCAGCCCCTGGGGAAGGGTACCAGGCTGGGCTCAG